TATTCCCAAATTGGGTAATAAACCCATGGACCAGCCAAAGTCCTACAGACCAATTAGTCTTACTTCCTTCTTATTAAAAACTGTCGAAAGGCTAATTGATCTGCACATACGGGAAAAAATGGGACAAACGGTTCCACTCCACCCCACACAATATGCCTACTCAAAAGGCAAATCTACGGAGGTCGCGCTGTATCACTTGGTCAGCAAAATTCAAAGCACCTTTCAATCTAAAGAAATTGCCTTATGTGCATTTCTGGATGTAGAAGGTGCTTTTGACAATACATCTTATGAGTCCATATCCAGTGCATTGGCCCGGAAAGATATAGACTCCTGTACAATAACGTGGATAGATAGGATGTTACGTGACAGGAACATATCTACCAAGTTAGGTAATACCACCGTTAGCATTAGTGCAGTACGGGGTTGCCCCCAGGGTGGGGTTCTCTCACCATTGTTATGGACGTTGGTAGTAGACGATCTACTAGTCAAACTGGAACAATCTGGCTACCATGCCATAGGTTATGCAGATGACTTGGCAATCATAGTTTGCGGTAAAAATGAGGCCACAGTTACTGACGTAATGCAGGCGGCCTTACACAAAGTTTCGAGCTGGTGTATAAAAGAAGGCCTAAGTATTAACCCAAAAAAAGCAGTAATTGTACCATTTTCCAGAAGGTACAAACTGAACTTAGGGTCCCTATCTATAAAAGATACGGCTATTGAATGTTCCGACGAAGTTAAATATCTAGGAATCACCCTAGATAAGCGTCTTAATTGGAACACTCACCTGGATAATGTAATTGGCAAAGCCACAAGGGTAATGTGGACATGCAGGAACGCATATGGTAGGACCTGGGGCCTTAGTCCCAGAATTCTCTCATGGATCTACCGTACAATGGTCAGACCAATTGTATCCTATGCAGCTCTTGTTTGGTGGAATAAAGCACAACAAAAAGCTGCAATACTCAAATGCAATAAACTGCAAAGACTCGCATGTATCGCTATGACGGGAACTATCAGAACATGTCCCACATCAGCTATGGAGTCCATAGTGGGTTTTACCCCTCTGCACCTCTTCATTAAAAAGACGGCAGCCCTGAGTGAAGCTAGGCTACACTCTGGTATCAATATGCACGGAAGTCTTGACAGTCAAAACTCTATCTGCAGACTAGTTCCTGGCATAGAGATCTGCGATAGGACAGATCGCATGAACATGGAACTTCGCTTCGGTAGAAAGTTCGAAGTCCTCATTCCCGATCGATTGGATTGGGTAAATGGCACCCCTGGAGCAGAACCAGAAGTGATATCATGGTTTACCGATGGTTCAAAAACCACGGAAGGTGTTGGTGCTGGAATATTTGGTCCTAACACCAGAATCTCGCTAGCGCTGGGTATATGGCCCACTGTCTTCCAAGCAGAGGTTCACGCCATCGAGGTCTGCGCTCGTATCAACTTAAACAACGGGTTGAAAGGCGCCCGCATCTGTATTTACTCAGATAGTCAAGCGGCAATCAAAGCTCTATCCACCTGGAGGTTTTTCTCAAAACTTTCATTAGACTGCTTTGATATGTTGCAACAGCTGGCAAGCAGAAATAAGGTGACGCTTTGCTGGGTGCCTGGACACACAGGTATAAAAGGAAATGAATCTGCCGACAGCCTTGCAAGGGCAGGTTCTGCAACTAAAATCTGTGGACCAGAACCCTATTGTGGTCTAAGTTGGTCAACAACTAGTTATCTAATTGATAAATGGATCTCAGCCGAGAGAGGTCGCTACTGGAGTGACAATCGAGGTAACCGTCAGGCAAAACAGCTGGTTCATCCATATAGTTATGGCAAGGCATCCCTCCTCAGCAGATCAGATTTGAGGTTGCTGGTGGGATATTTAACGGGTCACCATGGACTGCGTTATCACCTTAACAAAATAGGTCTGTCCGAAGAGATAGAGTGTCGACTATGCTTAGAGGCAGATGAGACTACGAGCCACATTCTCTGTGACTGCCCAGCCTTGATCTGGGCAAGGAGGAAATCACTGGGAGGAGAGCTGCTCTCTCCTTCTGACATTAGGAGGTCCTCAACGGACGACATTCTGGCCTTCATTCGGAAAGCGGAATGTCTTCTGTTCAATTAGGGTCAGTTACGGCACAAAAGATCAATCTGGTCGCAGTGCTCTGCTCCAGTGGGAGCTAGTACCCTGTTTATTTCTATTTCTATTTCTACTATGCGCCATTTTTGAATTTTAGACTTATCTAACTTTTTTGGCACTATCCAGATTGGGCTATTATATGGACTATTAGAATTTCTTATTATTCCTTGCTGCAACATTTCTTATATTTCTCTACTGACCTCATTGTTATGAACTTTAGGATAACGGTAAAATTTAGAGTAGAGTGGAATTTCATTAAGAATCGAGATTTTATGCTTAATATCATTAGAGAATGTAAGATTGTCGCTTTCCTTGCAAAATAAGTTTTTATATTTGTTTAATGT